AATGCAAACACGATAAGGCGAACATGGCATAAGAGAAGAAAGAAAAGATTAAGACAAGTACACATGCATGTGTGAGAAGAGAATAATTGATGGATATATATGTGTGTGTATATGGCTGATGCCCTTGAACATCTCCATGAAGGATGGTGACGGATGGAACTCGTCACAGTTTAATCCAGACGAGAACTAAAGATACAGTGGATGAGTGAATGATAAAATTTTTTCACGTTATCAAGTGAGCTTTCCTTCCTCAATACTCTATGAGAAGGCTCGCCTTCGCAAAAGGATGTGAAATTCATAATGGAAGACGTAGGTTTTATGGGAAAAAAACAATTCGGTTCAATCTTCTTGACCTTGTTTCATTAAATAATTGCTGAACAGTGTTTATTGAAGAGTAAAAGTTAGAAAAGAAACTAATAGATTATCTATGCATCACGGAAATATATTTTATTCAGAAGAATAAATGAACTATTTCAACCTGAATGAAAACGAGAGCAAAAGAGATAGCTATTAATGATGTGAGGAGAAAGAAATGATTAATGTTAAACTTCATGTGTATTCTGACGTGATTGTAAAATTTATCCGTCTCATATTTAGCAAAAGCAAACTGTTTGAAACTTTGATATATTATTATACCTACTTGTTACTAAATAACTACAAAGTTTGAGGTCTATAGCTTTTGCTAAATATGAGAACATGCAACCATGCTGTCATATATTATTTTTTCAATTTTGCTATAACTTATATTCACAAAACTCGATATAAAAATCGCTCAACAATCTCCACTTTTTATCGATGATTGGTTAGAGTTCATTACACTATAAGATAGTAATCGTTGTAAGAAATATTATCTTATTGCTGAAGAATAGGCAAAACTCACTCGCACTATTGTACTACAATAAAAAACTAAAAAATGAGGTAATTTACGAAATTTTATTTTTGTAACATGATTAATATTGTAACCAGAGGGATACCTGCATGCTCTATGATCTGTTTTTATCAATTAAATGGAACCAATAAACTGTGATACGAAATTGGGTGATGTTCGCCCTACCGAAAACGTTTGGGTTGCATTGAACGTGAAATTACGAGAGTGGTAATACGATAATATTGAAGAATTGAAAAACGAGATAAAAAAGCCATGGGAGAAATTTAGTGTTTCTTCATGTCAACGAATGATGGATGAGATACCAGCACAGTTAAAATTAGTAATTGATCAGGGTAATAATTAAATCAACGAACTTTGGTAACTTGATATGCCTTTCTTTTTGTTTCGAAAAGTTGTATTATTTTTAAAACAATAATCAAGATGATCGGGAATTTTCTTTATTTCATACACATGTTATTAATATGAGTTTTCTTTGACATTGTCCATTTAGACTCATCAATGTGATAGAAATCTCAAGATTGGATAGAGCATTGAATTTGTCAATCGATGAAAAATATTCTATGTTCATCGATACATTCAAGGCGACTTTTCAGAATGCTTCAGATATGAAGTGTCGGTGCCTGAAATCTAATCAGTGATTTTTGTAAGTATTTTCTTTTTTATAGTAAGAATATGTCTGTATGGCTATCAGTGAAGAGAATGTCCATACTCACAGTCACTTCATACTGATACTGCTATATCCAATATGAGCATGTTGATCTAGTTTACTTTGACAAACTTCTCGACATTTTTTTCTTTTCAGATGTAATCGTTTTGCTGACTTCAACAATGCAGAGAGCCACTTCACCGTGATCATTAAGAGAAACAAACATAGCCATATTTTCTTTAATGATATACATCCTCAAAGAAGTTTTCGGCATGATAGACTGCTAAGAGTCCTTCTTGTCGTTTATATAATTTGAAGAGTTAAGAGATATCTCAACTGGAGTTCTTGATAGTTTTTCATTTTCATATTTTTGTGTGGCTCTTTATCATTGTTCATCAGGCATCTAAACTATTCTTCTTCCTACTGCTTACAACTGATACTACACATTTGTACTGTTTTGCATTCAAACTGCTAATTATTCTACATATTATTTTACGCATACTCATTGAAACTTTATGCTTCATTTGTTTTGTTTTGTAACTTGATAATTTACCTATGTCTCTTTCTCATCAAAATGATTGCTGTATGTAATTATTTTTTTCTATCTTACATGCGTAAACTAATGTTTTCTCTAGAATAAACTTGTTCTCACTTACTTCACCCAAATGTGTGATTCTGCTTCTCATTACGCAAAAATATGCGTTTCTCACATCTGTTGCGTGTTTACATTTTATTCTAAAACCTTGAGAAAAATAAAGATATCCGATTGCACGAAACTTGTAACCAATCTGACTGTATACATAGGCATTATATCCACTGATACTATACCGAAAACTCCTTTGAAATTTGAAAGTCAGACACAGTAAACTTTATATCGTGAATTTTATGTATAGTAAAACGTTGTCCTCATGATTATTGAGTGGAACTATTTCAACTGAAGCTTGCGAGCTAGCAGACTTTATCACGTGCAAAGCTCTCTTGCAAGATATCAATACTTAAAAAATAAATTGAATTTTAATATTCAGCAACTCTCAATAGAGCTTCAGATACACAGAATTGCTAAACTCGTTGTACAAACATGCATTTCATATCGACAGTGAAGACGCGTCAATAACACATTTTTTGTTGGATGACTTGTGTCTTAATTAACAGCGTTCCATAATTTTGTATGTATAAAATCAATTAAGAGAATCAATACAAACAGTTCAGCGAATCCTGCAAATGTTTACTGTTAGAATCAGACTTTAACAAGTATAGAGAACCAAATCAAGTCAGGAAATGAATCCGGACTAGAAAAGATTGAGTATGATACTAACTTTACCTATGCTGAAGATAACCGTGTAGGTTGAACATATAATAGACTATTGTTGATTTTGCACCCTGAAGTATGATTTGAGTTCATAAAAACTAGATCTTCTGTAAGATGATCCTTTACTGTAAAATGTTTGTGATAATTAGAAAGCAGTTAATAAGCTACTGTTTCACAAGAGAAATCATGTCTTTTTTGACGCATTTTGAAGAGCAAGTTAAATTAGGAACCCTGAGTTTCGAGTCGCTCTCAAATTTCTCTCACTAGTTTTCCCGAAAACCCGTAATTCGGTGGAAAGTTGGTAGAATCTGTAGCGCTTAGCGGTATGCATTGTCATTAAAATTCCTTCACGAAAAAACATTGATCAGTTGAAAGTCAATCAAAAAAGCATCACTTTGCAGTCCTATTGAGCAGTTCATAATTTACTTTGGTACTTATTGCATACAAGTAATAATTATCTCAAAAGACTAGACACTTCTAATGGAGATCAAAGCAGTCTCTTATACAGGAAAACAAAAAAATACATTTTATTTTTTTTTGACTATACAATAGCTAAAATATTCCAAAATTTCAGACTTATATATATATTTCTTTATCATACGATACATTATCTGATAGATTAGCGAATTCGAACAGATCTTATTTTGTTAAATTTATTTTTTAACACTTCCTAATGATCACAAGCATTTTTCAGCAAAGAATCGTCACACAGAAAAGATCTATTTTCTATGATCTCGAAGTTGAAAATATATCTATCGTGCTCAGTTAGTTGTGTGTAATCTTTTCAATAATAGTACATGCAATCGATAAAGTTACCATATGTGAATAGAACGAAGTTTTTGCCACTGAAGATTTTATATTTCATACTGTTTTGTTTGTGTCAAAGAAAAATAATTTCTATGCTCGTTTAAATATGAAAGATTGATTAATAACAATGCTAAACATATGCTTAAAGTCAGAGTCAACATAAACATAAAGTATTAGGAAACTGTTTTCGAGTTTTTTAGAACTTTTTTGTTAAGATTCTATATATATATGCTTGAAACTGGCAAAGACATGGGTATTTAATCTGATGATTTATTTGATTTCATATTTATAACAATATTTATTTAAAAAACAACATATTATTCATAATTGTAATGTTCATCTATTGTACAAGATTTAATTAATTTTCAAATATGATTTAGTTTTTTCATAAATATATCATATATACAGAGTGGTCCAAAAGTCAGCAGGCAATCAGTCTTTAATTTTGAATAACTTTTGATAGAAACAAGATAGAGAGCTGCGATTTTCACCGTTCGAAAGAGAGTATTGCTGCATAGTTTCATGCATTAATCAACAATCTTGTCTGATGATCAATTAGTAAATCTTCGAAAAAAAAGTGACAGCTCTATGGAGATAGCATGAAAATTCAATTTTAAGAAGTGTGGGAGGCTCGCGTCCTTAAGATCCATTCTCATGTTTATACCCAAAAATTTTATTTTGTTTTATTCCAAAGTTATAAATGCGACACTAGGCGATGAGGCCGTGGGTATGGATTATAAGTACGCGGATTTAGTGCACTTAGATTTGAACTTTCATGCTATCTTCATAGAGCTGTCATTGTTTTTTCGAAGATTCACTAATTGATCATCAGATAAGATCGTTGAGTAATACATGGAACTATGTAATAACACTCTTTCGAACGGTGAAAGCAGCAGCTGTTTATCTTGCTTGTATCAAAAGTTATTCAAATTAACGACTGACTACCAGGTGACTTTTGAACCACCCTGTATATGTAAATCTTTTTTATATTTTTTGTTTATATTTACACTAATACCATAAATGGGTTGCTGTACGAAAAAACAACTTGTTTTCTTATGAGAAGAAGAAAAATCAGCATTAAATAACATATATAAACAGCAACAACGATGGAAACTGTCCATCGTTAGGCCAAATAAAAAAAAAAAAATGAGACAAACGAACAACAATTACAAAAATACATATTGAATCAATAAATGCTGGTTATTCTTAATGACAAACGACAAGAACTATCAATAACAATCAAGATAAAATTTCGCGCCAAGAGAAGAAACAAGAAATAAATATAAAACAATAAAATAGGAATGTTTTTTTTTCTTCTTTGTTATCGCTGAAAAGTAATTCTTTTATGACTATTTTTCGTCGCCAGGTTCTTTGAGTGCGTGCCATTGAGCAATAGGCCTTCGAGGTGAAGCAATCATATCAGACCAATGACGTAATTCAGAACCAGTTGCTCGACAACCTAAAACAACTTTTCCAATAGGTTCAGATGTTCCAATACGATCATAATCAACAACCAAAATCACTAATTTTACTTTCTATGAATAATGATTGTAAAGAAAATTACTCTTCTAATAATAAGAAAAGAAAACCTGAATTTCTTCGAATGATACGTCGAATGTAAATGATTCATTATAATATGGATTTAATGTGCATTTTTTAATTGATGTTTTCTTTTTTTTTAAACGTTTTTCATTCATCATTAATAATAATTTAACATATGGATCTTGAAAGAAAAGATTAATGTTTAAAATAAATGACTTCTTTTTCTGTCTGTTATTTTTCTTTTCATACCAGAAAGTCCGCCGACGTCCATTTTTTTGAGGTTTTTAGCTTCGAGTATCGTAACTGTCAATTTGCCAGCTGTTGGAACATATCGAAGCGAAAAACAAATGTCTCCCAATTTGCTATCCTGTTTAACCAAAGATATTTATCAAGAAATAAAAATATCTTCAATAAACATACAACATCTCGATCACTAGGTGGTGGCATTAACTCTTTTGTTTCTCTTACGACTTTTCCGAAATCCACGGCATTCAATGGAATTTGTAATTCACCCATAGGATCATGTCGTGACAAACGATCAAAATCGACAACTGAAAATACAAGTGTTTTTCCACCTATTTCACCATATGGCAAATCCTATTAAAAAATAAATATTTTTTTTTATCTTATTTATAAATTATATCTATAACAAACTTTGAATATAAATGCTTCATTAAAAACAGGATTTAATGTTTTTTTTTGTACTTTTGTTTCAAATTTTCGTTTTTTATCCGGTAATATATACACTTTAACATATGGATCAGATGATCCATTCATATCCATAGGTGGTAATTCTTGTGCTTGAATAACTTCAACTTTTAGCTATAAAATCAAAAATAAAACAAAAAATTTTCTATAAAGAAAAATTTTTTTATCATACTTCTTGTTTTTGAAAATCATAATCAAGTGAATATTCTAATTTTCCTAAATATTGTGGTTCACTTTTTTTTGATTCAGCATCTTCATTATCTTCCATATTTTGTGTTAATTGTTCAACGTCGGGTTGTACCTGAGAGTCAATTATATTAATTATTAAACAATCATTATCAATATTATGTATCGTTATGTGAACATAATTGATAGAAAAACTGTGTCTTTTCATTTTTATTTTCATGAATGAGTGAATAAATGAATAACCTTACCTTTGCTTTTTTGAAACCAAATTTCTTAAGACCTTTGAAACTGATGCCTTTGCCACTCTTTTTTGATTTCTTTTTCCAGAAATTTCGACATGCTATTTGAAGACAACAAGCGCAACCGATACATGCTACAAGAATTACTAGAAGAATAATCAGCCATCTCGCCCATGGTGGCACTAAAATTAAATAACAAAGAATACAATATATCCTATGTGTAGACATTGAATTGAATAGTAGATGTTTTTTTTTACGAAAGAAATGCTCGGTCAATGGATCTATTTACGCAATTAGTATTTTTAAGAAAAAACAATTTTTTTATTGTTGGTTTTTTTGTAAATGATATGTTGTAAAAATTGTAATTAGAACACTTTTTAAAGACTTTAGATGTCTTAAGATCTATTAGATGAATCAATTTAGGGGTTATTATATTCTATCATTGATCTTTATTAAATCATATCAGTTAGCTTTCTAATATATGTATATCATCAACAAATGGCAATACTTTTAAATTTAAATAAAATCGAGACGAAACTTACTCGAATAAATAAACAAAAACTGTTGGTCGTCACACTATTTTACAGATATGAAAAGCTAAAATACTGAAAGAATACGTTGAAGAACAGAAAAAAACCTTGTTGTCGTTTTTTTTTTGTCAACCTTTTTTTTCTCTTCGTTATTAGTGTACATCAGTGATCACAACACACTCGAGCAATGCGTTTCTATCTTTTTACTAATCAATACATAAAACAATTTCTGGTCGCTTACCGACCATCATGCGTTATTTTACTTCGTTCGTGGGATGAGAAAAAAAAAACAGACGAATGACAAACAGTACAGCGATACGAAAGAAAGCAGAAAAATTACTTGTGAAGGAAACAAAAAAATTCTTTCATAATAAATAATTTACACATATATAAATATATGTATAGTTCTGCTTTATGTGTTTAATGAAGTGTGGATTGACTTTGACAGAATAACGAATGTCTTATACGCCTACATAACTATATTCATTTACAGGTTTATACTTGAGGAGCAAATATTTTGTGGCACTTTTCTTATTGTTGTTGTTTGTCAAGTGATAAACACCCATTGATGAAATAGAAGAAATGAACAGAACTATCTAGTAATATTCGTATTTTATATCGAAAAAAAGACGACATCTGTTGAACAGCAAGATGAAAAAATATCATTGCATTTATTTCTGTTTTGCAAAGTTAAACGACACATGTTAAAACGAATTCTTTTTTCTCATTTAAATGGAATGAGGTTAAAATCTTCTTTGTTTACATTATTATTTTTGCATAATACATAAGCATAGATAAATATACTTTTATCTTAAAGACAGAACATGGAAAAGTGGCATTCTTTGCATAAGATAGTATCATCAAATATGAATATGTCTGTGTCTGTCATTAGATTATCTGTGTTATTCTGATGTTTTCTTTTAACGTACGCTTTGTTATACTTACTAGGAACTTTTTTCATAATTTCTTGACCGATTGTTTGAGCTTTTTCAAATGAATTTTCAGTACTTGTTGATAAAACATCCATTGATGAAGAAGTTTTAATTAATGATTTATAATTTTCATAACCATTATCTTCGTAATAATTTTGTTGTGATTTGTCATCGTCTGGTAAAATTTCTTGACGACGATTATGTCGATATTGTAAAATACCCATATAATTTTACTTTATCCTGAAATAATTTGTAAGAATTACGAAGTAATAGTGATGCAAAAAAAAAATACCTTGTTAACTTGTTTGATTCTATGTTGACTTTTAATCTTTTTATTTATTTATTTTGTTCTAAAAATAAAGATTTCTAGTTTCTACTTATTATTATTGTAAATGAAGAAATATTATTTTTGTTGATTTTAAAAATCTTAGTATAATTATTATTAATGATCGATTAAAAATTAGTAAACAAGAGGTAGGTATAGAAAAAGAAGAAGAAGATAAATGAGTATGAGATGAAACATGATATAATAAAGAATATGGCTTTTTGCCGCATAAAAACCTCAATGGAAATAACAAAGAAAGAAGAGAAAAGAAAAAGAATTTGATGTTCGAATATTCTCTGTATCTTCTCATATTCTTCATTATAAAAATTGAAGTTTTCTTTTTTTTTTCTTCTTTTTATCTAAAATACAATTCTTTGTTGTGAACTATTGAGATGGTAACAATTTTCAAAAAGAAATTTAGTTATTGGCATGCATACCTTCTTGTATTTACATTATCATCTACAATGATGATTTTCAATTAGATTATGGCATGCAATGTATATGTCTTTAAGTCAATTATGTGCAGCTCGCTTATTGTATGACAAGAATGAAATCGCACAGCGACTAAACATAATCATATTAGTGAAAATAGGTATACAATAATAATAATCAAAAAGATAAAAACAACTGATTATTGTTTCTTGTAGTCTCTAATAGTTTTTTTTTCTTTTTTTTATTAATCGCTCCAATCAATCAAAAAATAAAGAAAAAAAATCAACTTTTTTTCTATTGTTTCTCGTTAGTTTCTCACATGAAAATCAAAAGAAGATAACTACACAACTGATTGATAGCAGAGAGTATTTGTTCTTAGTATTGACGTTCTCGCTCTGTCCCTTTTTCTTACTGTAGTATACATCGTCAGTTAGTTCGAAGCGGAAAAAGATATGGAGAAATTCGCCATCGTTTTTTCTTTTCCTTGTCTTCTCATCATCGTTTTTCTTGTTACTACTGTTATTCGAAGCATAAACCGAACATTGTCGATTCTCTCAACTGATAATAGTGTTCAACTGACATAAATGATTGTTTGTCTCTCATTTTATACGTACAACAGCGAACATAAAACCTTGTACACTCGTAGAAAAACAGAATAATGATTGTTCTTTTACTCGACAGATAACTGACATAACCGTATGCGAAAGATTTCTTATCTAGAAAAGTGATGAAAATATCCTTCTCTCTTTCATTAATCAATCAATAATTGGAATAAAGAAATAGATCTAGACGAAAGAACAATCGACCAAAAAACAAACCTGTATATACGAAAGAAAAAAAAATGAAATAGTAATAAAAAAAAAAACAAGATGAAGAAAGAAAAAATGATGAATTATATGCTTTTAAGTTTATATGACAAACATATTTAAATAGAACGACTAACTAATGAGAACCTTAGGAATATAAGACAAAAATATGCAATAAATGGTTGTTTTTTTGTATAATATATTAGTGATACTTTCTGTTTCTATACAATTGCAAAATAATATATGTCGCTCTAATACTTTTTAAAGAGTAATCATTTATTACAAATACAATCACTTATCAAACGTGGATGTATTTTTTTCCTCTTACCTTTATTCGTTGTCGATTACCATTAATCCTTTAGTTACCGACGACGCGTATACCTGTCATGAATTTAATCGTCGCTTGAAACTAATGCAATCACTCATAAGGTACTTTTATTAAATACATTTGGATAAATGCCATCATCAAGTAATACGAGTTTTCTACATCATCATTTTGTCACAGCCCACGCTAAATTCCTGTAGTAAGAAACACAAATGTATGTAATGCGCAGTCACTCTATTGTACTTATGTTGATTTTTTGCTAGTAACCAAAGGTATAAATAAAATGATTTTATTATTATTTTTTGCCTTTGTATAGATTCTTTAGTTATAAACTTAACGTAGAAAAAAAAGAAAGTCTTGAAATGTATAAAAGAAAGTGTCAATCAAAATTTTTAGATATATTCCTTGATTGGTAATTGAAAAATCTTTTACATAGAATAATTTAATAGCATATTTATCAAATATAAAATTTATCGATTGAATATTCAAAAATAACTTAAATGTTTTTTTCTATCAAAGAAACACTGTTGTTTAAATTATTCATTTTCTCAATATGAAAATCTATTATTATTTGATTGAGATTAAAAATAATATAAATATGAACAAGACTAGCTCATTAAGGAAACTGTAAAATTCACTTACGAGTAATTTTATTTCAATTTTTATGAATAAATTAATAAAACGATCAAATTTTTTTTTTTTATGCTTATAATAATTTCAGTGTCTCGTAATTATATAGCTTTCATTGGAATGATAAAGAGACCTTGACTTGTTGAGTACAATTGAAAAGTCAAAACTGAAGTACCATCAATTTCTTTTATACCAATAGAATCAAGTTTTATTTTGTTGTATAAATCTGACAAATATATAACGTCTAGAATATTTCTAAGCAGTATACTGATAAATTGGTCACATTGACCTTTATATTTACACAAGTTAATACGAGCAAAATGTAAGACAAAACAAGAGCAGTTTGAAATAAGTCTTCTCATTTACTATACATGTAAATCATCTGTATTTATTTTTTATTAATTACATAGATTTTAATTATGTAACTAATAGAAATTTGCTTTTGGATTTGTTTTAATAAATATCAGTTTCGTAAAGAAACCAAGATTTTGATAGTGAGGAGATGGAAAATTCAAATGTATGAACTAATGACAGAGTTTAGTTGGCTTCTTTTGTATTCTGAGATATATCATCATTTTCGAAAATAGATTTGGTTTAAATAATATTCATAAAAAATTATTTCAAACCATATAGTCTTAACAAATTCTCGATCTTAATATATTGCCCTAAATAATTGATTAACAATAATGGAAGTAAATAACCTATAATCATTGTAGAATTAAAAGAATACAGGTCTCATATCATTTAATGTGTTATTACAATTATATGTTTTCTATAGCCTGAAATTATGTATGCACCTAGTGCATATATTTGATAGAATATTTCCTCAAAGGAAATCTTATTCAATCAAAATACTTGCCTTACTTTAATTATTAAACTATTGAAAGAATGACAGCATAAAAACTTATTTGGACAGGCTTTTTTTTTCAAAGGATAAATATTGAAGAAAGTTCTTCTCATCTGCATATATCTAATATGAGTTTGATATACAGTCAATCAATATTTATTTTTTCTAAATTCAATCTACTAAACAAATATTATTCATTTCAAATGCTCTTCGTATTACGCATTTGTTTTTATCGGCTAGTATTTATTTGAGCAATAAAAATATTGAAATGAGCAATAATTAAGATACGGTATAGCAATAATTTTTGAGCAATAAAAAAACTATCTTTGAACAATTTTATAATATTAAATGTCCAATAATTAATTCATTAAATAGCACTAGTAATTTCATATTTTAGCAACAACAAAAACGAAAAGTAAGATATTTTTTTTTTTACAATTGACAATAAAAAAAGAAAAATGATAAATTAATATATTATTGTGTCAATAAAGCTTTTTTCGCTTCAGCTGGTCTCCCTCCTTTTCTTTTAATATCAATATCCACATCTTTTGTCCATGATAGGAGTTTGCACCATCACCTTTATCCTGTTGTCAAGAGACTAGTTCCATATCATTGTCACTTTTACTATCAGAAATATGATGCATTACGTTTTGTGATTGAGCCATTTATATAAATTATATATTTTATTTTATAAGATGGAAAAAATATGTATTTGTATAAATAAGGGTTTTCCTATCCACTATTAGAATTGTCCTATTAATCATCTTGAAAATTTCCTTATGATTATCTTACACTATATATGGAATTTTTCCATCACTTTTGATATTAATGTAACATATATCAATGTTCTCTTCTATGGGAGATCAGATATTAAATTCTATAGTCGTCTCAACCTCATTATTTTTTCTACGTTTTTTTCTCATATATCATGTTTCAAGTGTGTACGAAATAAGTCGAACTCACGTAAACACATAACAGCGAAAATCGTACAATTTATACAAATGAATTTGTATTGCCCTTTTTACGTGAAATTTATCTTTAATTTGAATAAACTATTGTTCATTCTCAGTATAATTATTGTTGATTCAATGTATTTATTGCTCATTCAATATAATTATTGCTCATTTTAATTATTTTATTGCTTAATTAAATATAAGTCGTTTTTATCTATATACAGATTACTTTCTCTTGTTAACATATTACATAACATACAAAATAAACACAAAAACTTATAATCTTAAATCAGTAGTTATTGATCCTGATGGTTTTACCATTGATATTATTCCGGCTGCATCAAATGGTGCTCCATATATAGAACCATTTATCCATCCACCTTTTTTCGATGCACTTAAATAATGTTCAAGATGATTAAGATGATAATCAAATCCTTGTTCTGTATTTATGCGTGGTAATGGTATATGATTAAATCTATAATCCCAAATACTTGCATATTGAAAACGGTATGATCCAAAAGCAAACATTGTTCCAATAATCGCTCCTACTAAAATATCATACCAATGATGATAATGATCGATTGTCAATGTTAATGCAATAAGAGCAGCACCGAGTAATGGTGCATAAAAAAGTACGAGTTTCCAATATTGTGGACGATAATTAGCAAAAATTTTTAATTTACTATTAAGATATAATGAACAATAAACAAGACCAGCAAAGGCTGCTGTTGAATGACCTGATGGTAATGATTCAAGTGCATCATTGATTTGTTTTTCATCACCTGTACATATTGAACGATCAAACATAATACCATCAAAACCAATGCCTGTACCATAACTTGATGCATTAATATTTGGTTTACAAACAGAAAAAAAATGTGGTCTTAAACCACCAATAAGCCATTTAATAAATACTTGAAAAACTGCAGCTGATATAAGAGAAAAAAGAAGACCCATTATTGCTGTATTAGCATCATTAAAACTACGAAGACGTATTTGCATTAATATTATAAATATAAATGGAATAATAAATGCTAAAAATGCAGCTAACCATATTGGAATAATATCTTTACGAAATGGATAACTAAATTCTGGATTAACTATTTCACCATTGGAAAAATATACAGGAAAAACACGATTAGGTAATGGTCGAACATAATATACACCAAGACCAACAGCTCCTAAAATAGCCATTAAAAGATAATCCATCCAAAAAGTATAAATATAAATTCGAAATGTCATTGATGTATCTTGAGATTTGTTTGAATCATTTCGAGGATTATTAATATCTGTTGGTTCCATAACAATAACTGCATCTCGAGTTTTGTTCATTGTATCTTATGTTTCAAACGATAAGTGAAGGAGTAAAACAGAAACGTGTGTGATGACGGTGACACAACCGAAGAGAAATGAATACGAAAGAAAAACTTTGCGCTGCTTGGCTCCGAACGAAAAGGGCACAATGTGATCGTTTGTGATTTTTTTTGCTTTTTTTTCCTTCTGATCAACATCGTAGTATTGAGAAGTTATGTAGTAAAAATATAATGTATGACAAGAAGTTACGTTTGCATCTGCCTATTGTAGTATTAATGAAATACAAGACAAAATTGTAAACACAATAAAACAGTTGATGAAACTTTAAAAATTTTGTAAAAATTTTTCTATTTTACAATTAGAGATACTTTCATAAGCGGTATAAATTTAATTCATTTACAATTAATATTGTACAATTGAATTTTCTCATTTTTTTCTTTTGAAATATTTATTGAAAAAAAATACATAATTGACCCATTTAATCTTGAAGAAGTTCGATACAGTACGATTAAAAGTTAGTATAGTTTGATTGACAATTTAACTGAAAATTTATTGGAATTTTCAAGCAAAACGATAAGAAATAAATCAAATTAAGTCAACAACACCTGAACGAGCTACAGTATCAGGTTATCAAAGTTGAGATATATTTCTATTCTTAATGATAAAGCAAATATTGTATTATGTTTTATGTTATGTTACATATTTAAGATATCGAGAGATTGTGTGATAGTTCTCTATGCATTTCTCAGTATAACCTTGAACTGAAAATGACTCTTTAACAAATAAAAAATGTTTAACATATAAAATAAGTGAAATTAAAAAAAATTAAAAGATAATATACATAATCACGTTATTTATTGATAGGAAAAGAAATTAGTAAAAAAAAGATATTGCATTATTGTATTGCGTCAAACATACATAAACAAAATCTATTTGATTAAATGTTAATAGATAAAACAACATGTTGATTAATATAATGTTTTTCTAACGTAAGGCTATACTTTTGTTGAACTGTGTTTTTGTATTGAATGTATCAAGAATTGAAATAATCAATGCTATATTTAAAACTAACCAAAAAAAATGCATTTTGCATTATTTACAAGTGCTTATCTAAAAACAGTAATAGTTATACCTTAACAAAGTAATATTTTAACTCATGAAATATTTTTAACAAATGCTTTTGATATTTTTTGAATTAATTGGTATTGAATTACTTCGTAACAGAAATTTAGTAAAATTTGCATACATAGTAGGGACAATCAAATTATGTCGAAAAAAAACTAAAAAAAAATTGAATTTTTGTTTATCTTGTCATAGTCAAAATTTATGATTAATAGTCGGAATAATTGTATCAATATCAACATGTATTCTTATTGCACAAGTTCTATTTAATATAATAAGCATCAATTTAAAGCAGAACAAATACTCTTATTATATATTTTACCGATATTTGGCTCTAGTTTATTCATGTTTATGATAAATGAATTACAAAAATTTTATTTTACACATAAACTACATTCTTAATTAGAACATATTGCTTAGTATTGGTTTTCTTTTTGTTATTATAAAATAAAAGGAAATAGTTAATTAGATAAAGAAAATTATTTTTATCACCACTATCTGCTTCAGATAAATTAATGAGATAACTATAGATTTGTTTTATGTATTTATATGTGATTGAAACTTTAATTCATTATTGTAACTGCTTCGCTATCATTTCAAATTTCATTCGAATTCTTAAATAGTAGTTCAGTGCCGTTTGGCAATTAAATTGAGATGAAAACATTTCTGTTTGACTTTTCATATTGTATCAAAAATCACACAATAAGATACAAGACAATAATTGTATATTGTGATGAACATTCACAATAACTGCAAACAAAGAGTTCAATAAGGTTTCTAAGATAAAGCAATCTTATTTCAGTCTATTTGACTGTATTTTCTTACTAAGTTGATATGAAAGAATACTGATTTTCATTCCATTTTTTCCGATGATAATTGTTACTCACAACAAGAACTACAAGATTTAACTAATATGTGCATGTTATGTTCTCATTTACACTACAGTCTAGTTATGCAATACAAGAACTAAGAGAGAAATGTCTCTTATGACTAAAACACATCAAACTACTATTTAATCGTAGCGATACAGTCACAGCAAAAAATTTCGGTTTCAATCATATATTTTAGTTTATAAAACAAAAATTCAATTTTCTCGATAAATCTTTGTTCTTTAGAGAAGAAAATCGTTGAATCGACTGTATAATGCTATGTATACCTATATTACCAACATGAGATCAAATGATGATAAGGTGAAGGATAAATAGAAAAAAACCTAGGTGTATTGTTTGTTTTAGATAGTAATATACACGACATTAATAGCTGATTTTAGGAGCTTAGAGAATTTAGAAGATAAATCACGTCTTTTTCATGGTTTAGAATCGAATAGACTTTGATTTATAGTTCATAAAGTTCGTTTATAACATATATTCATAAAAAGGCTTTTCATATAGAAGTAGTATTGAGAACACATCTATATATTGTGATACTGTCTTTGAATGAATATAACACAAAACATAGAAAATTTCATAATAACAAAGTTATCCTAAAGTCAACCAACAACAGTTAACTTCAGGACTGTGATGTGTTGTTTCGTTAATTTTTTTTGGCTGATATTATTTATTGAAGGAAAAAGATATAAAAAAGTGAAATATAAACGAAAGAAAAATAATAATTTGATTAAAACAACAACAAAACTTATTCTATAATGATTATTAATAGAAATATGCAAGTATGTAATGAAAAAAACAAATAAAACTGGCATATTTTCTTAATTGATAAAAAATAATTTTTTTTGTTCATTTTCTATTATGGCGAATAAAAATAATATCTGTATCTTTCTAATTGAAGTCAATATTCTAATTTTCATTTAATATATTTCTTTGAATTAAATCTTAATATTTATCCAATAGTAACATAGCTATTCGTGACAATTGTCAAAGTCGGTTCTTTTTCAATTGTAATCTTATTAACCTTTATTTATATTCACAGTTGTATTGATCTTATTTATCAACAATGACATCGAAACACAAGGGATTAATTCTTTGTTTTTCTTATCTACAATACACGTAATAGTGACATATATATGTATGCTTACTAATGTTCTTGATATATGTTAATTTAACTAAAATGTCGATAGTATTAAACAGTAGGAGAAAATTTAAATATAAAGAACTGATAATCATATTTTATTTTTAAAATCAAACTGATCATCAGCAAATAGACTTTGAATTGCTAATTATTATAAATGATGTAATATCGACTTGTATTCTTTGAAAGTATCAAAATAAAAATGAATTTATCTTAATCAGTATGAATACTTGACACTATTTATTTCCCTCGATCATTACACAATCAATGACTTGATAATGACAGTAAAACGATTTTTAATGGAATCCATCTGTCAATTTTGATAGATTGAATGCTTGAAAATTTTCTTGCATTTATTTGACCTTCATAGTTTTTCTATGTTAATAGACATTAAATTGATCAAGTGATGAACACGAATAATTACTAAAATTCTTGTTTTAAATTAGAGAACTGCTAAGAAATAACTAGTATCAAACATAACATATAAGTTCTCAGTTAGTTTTGTTTATAAGAATGTTGAAAACTGTTATAAAATTATTAACTGTAATATTGATTTATTCTCTTTATAATCATTATATTATCTCTGTGTGTGATAATTTTTATAAAAGAAAAAAAACAAAACATGATGTGAAAAAAAAAATTTTATACACAAGCTCATCTGAGAATCAAAACAAAACAAAACAAAACAAAAATGCATTACAAAACACACACAAACATATATAAAACATCGTAAATATTATAAAGACATAATTTATATATTTGTTCACAACGTACATTTGGACAGAGCATATGGTGTATAAAGAAAATGAGAGTAACGAAAGACTTTAGGATGCAAAACAACGACAAAACAATAGGAAATAATATACTTGAAAACGGAATGTAGATGTTACATATATATTTGAATAATCACAATCTTGTTACAATTATATCAGGATCATCCGAACTATCACTATTTGTATCAGGATGAATTGATGGTTCTGGATAAAAAACAGTCAATGCTGATTTCTCAGGTTTTGTTTTTGTTGATTTTGATTTTAAAGAACCTGGATCTGATCGTCGACTAATCGAATTATCTATGTTAAAAAAATTCAAAAGAAATTTTATTTTGTTCATTTTAAATTTAAGAAAATAAAAGAATATATTCTTTACCAAGACTTCTTATAAATGGTAGTTTGTTGAGTGATCCATTAGAATTTCCATGAATATTCTGATAACTACTAAATCCAGTTGATTTAGGTCGCCCACGGCTGTTAAATCCATTTGATGGTGGTTTCGGAGTATTGGTTGAAGAGGAAATATATGAATTTCTTTTAGATTTTTTATTATCTAATTGAATATAACCTAACTCACAATATGATTTAAATAAGTGTAGACTAGTATCAAAAAATCGCGAATCATTCGAAAATATTGCTTGATAATTTTGTCGATCATTATATAAAATATTTGATGGATCTATTGTTTCTTTATTCGGAGGCATAGTTGACACTGTAGCTGAAGACGATGTTGAATTAGTACTAACTGAATGTGTTAAAGACATTATTATAAGAATTTAATAATTATTTTTTTCTCATTGAAAGAATACCAAGTATAATATATACATCTAAGAATATCTACATTTGATAATGACGACTTACTGATGAAAGTTGTGTTTTATTTTTTGTTCTGTCTGTTTCTCTCTCTCTCGCTTTCTTGTTTTTTTCACAAATATGATATATGCCATGCACCTATGATTTGACAGGTATACCAGATGACGCTAATTGACAATGTAGGAGTTTCTTTTTTTTTAAGATAAAAGAAAAATGACAACGACTTTTCAATGCATGAAGATAAACGGAATATTTATTGCAAATACTTGAAACTTTACATAGTATCTGATCAAATTGTATAACAGATATCGAATTGATCAACAAACGTCTTTTTTGTGCTAATTTTTGAAGGACAATTTAGTATTGATTTATTGATTGAAAAGTTTTAAATAATTGAAATTTTATTCAAAAGCAAAAATTTGAAATTTATAGACATATTTTCATTGAGTTTTATTCTATAGAATTAATGTATAGATAGCTATCACAGATCGCTGTAGAGATTCTCAACTTGAAAATTTCTCTTCATTTTTATAAATAGAACTAACAACAACTTCTACTTAGATAAATTATTTATATGTATGCTTCAATTAATTTATAAAGTTATTATATTAAAAACGTTCATTTTGATAAAGAATTTATCTTCAAAGTTTAATAAAAAGAAAACAATTTTACTTTAAATATTCTTCCCTCGAAACAAAACTCCATCTAACTTAAGTATTGAAAGTGTCAATAGTTATAAATTTCTTAACTTAATATTCATCTAAATTATACAGTAAAAAAAAAGTATTTGATTTACTAATAACTATTTCATGCTTAAAATGACCGTATCAATGATTAATAAATAGTTCTTGACAAAGTCTATTATTAATAAAAATTACAACTAAAAATTTATTTTGTTTAAGGCCTTCGTCATAATTGATATGATTTCTAAAAGAAAAATGAAATTCGAATTCACACGGACTTAGACACATATCCATTTTAAAATAACAAAAAATATCTTCTTTTTTTATCAAACAAAAAAAAAAAAAAGAAGAAAAGTTCCATAGCAGACAAAAACTACTCATCGAACGGTCAAGTTGTTTTGGTCGATATATAATCATTATGCAATTGGCACTATAGATGTGTGTATATGACACAATATCCTCGCTTTTTTTTTCTTTCATTCTTCTTTTCTTTTTCATTATATACATATATGTATATAAGATGGTTGTTGTTTAATTTACTACTATAGAAATGACTACTATTCATTTTCACTCTTGGTCACTTTTGCTTATTCTTGTTTTGATTTACTTTCAAGTTCAAAATGATACCTATACAACAACATGTACTAGTCGAGTATAGCAGACATTAGTTAGACTTCCTACGTCTCTTTTGATTATGTCATATGATACAATAACAACAACGTTAGGATTCATTTTCGACTCTTCTCTCTTTTCACACATAAATACTTTCAGTCACCATCGTATTTCATTATTTGGACATCTATGTATATATATATATATTGTATATAGATGCTTACTACACTAATGATGATCATCAACTCGAATATATGTCATAGTCGACGTTGTCGTCGTCTTCGTCTTTTGTTTTTTTGATTGAAATAAATCTGTTAACACTTTTCGCACTTTTCTCTTGCGAATAAACGAATATATAGGTTTGTCGCTAAATGGTGTCTAAGCTTTTTACGCGTCTCTTGCTCTTTTTTTTTCTTCTCAATCGTTTGAGCTATTTGAATGGTGACACGAATAGTGTGTCGTTACAAAATAAAATACAATAGTAAAGTGAACAACAATAATAATCGTTTGTCGTTGTCGTCATTAAGCTTGTCGTCGTATTCATTTATGAATGTAACATAATGAAAGATTTTAACCTGTTGTTTGTTTCTTATTGATTTAATACCCAAAATACGTTTATTTTCTTTTTTTGAGCCTTTGAAACTTTTTATTGTTGATAATGAAATATTGTTTGATCTAACGTAGATCATTTTAATCGTGATATATATAATTTTATGCTGAGACCATACGGATGAAATCGATTATACAAATACAATCGTTTAAATTTACATTTTTTTTTCTCTTTTACTTGCTTATCTCGATAATGAGAAGTCAGTGATTAACGCTTTTAGTTATTTCTCATCGGTATAACTATGACTTCCACTCACTCTAGAAGACTTAGTCGTCACTAACATCATAAGAAAGTTGATGACGCCATATATACACTATCGTAAGCATACCAAATCAATGATTGAACCTGTTCTCTTCTCTTTCTCTAGGGAAAGAGAGAGAGAGAGAGGGGGAAGAAGAAGAATAGAGAGAAATCACATCTTTTTCTTTCTTTCTCATTTCTCATAACATATCAAATACAAAAAAAAAAACACATACATTTACACATTATTGTATAGTATTATCCATCTCGTTGTCATCTATCTATCCATCTATCTATCTGACCATCAATCAAATATATACAATTGATTTTTCTAATAGAACAAATATGAAGTAAGTTCTGTTTTCTCTATTTTTTTCTTACAATATTTTTTAGTTTATTCTATCAAATGGGTGTATGCCTATTATTTACTAAAGAACCTATTCATTCGGTAGTTTTTTCATTTCACACATCGTATTGCGCGTTCAGTTTGAAATGTAATCACATGTACTTCAATGATTCCTTTCTTTTAAACATCTATGTATATTCGTCAACCGATAATTGATCTGTAAAGTATATATATATATACACACAGCTTGATATTTTACGTTCACATCTCTTCTTATCGTTTCTGCTAAGATGATCGCACATAATAGAATGTAAGACTACCTACCTATCGAACTACCTTGATCAATATGTCGCATCTAATTTGTTTTTTTTTTCTCATTTTCAAAATAGATTTTAATACATTTTTATACATGATACAAACGATGAGAGATGTATGTGTCAAGGTTCTTCCTCACTGATTCGAAAATAATTTATGAACAAGACTATTCATATGACGGGTGATTGTACTGATAACAAAACGAATTCAATGACGCAAGTACGTGCCAAGATTCATAAAAGTCAAATCTCTCTATGATTAACCTTGAATAACTAAATCGCATGTTTATTATATTGCCACCAAATGATCATTATTTGATTTTTATATAATTGCTTTTTCTTTTTGACTATACACGAACAATCATCATTAGACTTGCATTTTCCTTTCCATATAACTGTCTCTCGTTTTTTTTTTCTTTCGTATTTCTTCATTTACTGCATTAATCAAAAGATCTCTCTTGTCGTTGTCATCTATTATCATCAATGTTGTCAACGAGCTTTTAACTTTAAAAACGAATGAACCATATGGGCGGTAGGAGACATAGACCCGAAGGCGGTCAATATGTGACGAATACCAGATAAAATTGACCTTTTACAAAAATATAGACGGTGAGAGAATGTATAAGACGATTAGGAAGTACGATGGCAATCTGTTTTCTTTTGCATAAAATCAAGACAAAAAAAAAACTACTTGTCTTTTTATCCCGCCTTCAAGCATATATAATAAATACAAAGTAAGAGCTTAAATTCGTTAAAAAGGCCATGAACATATTATTTTATTCAAATGTATATTTATATTGGAAAAGAACACACACACAAAAAAAAACTTTTTTCCTTTGTTCTTTTTGAAATCAAATTATCGTTTATTTTTATTTTATTTTATTTTTTTGATTATATTCATAATGTGCTTTTTTTGTTCTTTTTGACGTACATACTTACCTTCTTTTTTAAGGCATCCTGTATAGTATAATTCACTTTGATGATTATGCATTTCGCTGTCCGTCTTTTTTTTTCTCAATTTCGGATTGAACAGTAGTGATGACGATGATGCAATCATCTCTTTCTCTTTTGCGAATACACGCTTTTGGCTATAATGGCACAGCAGGCAGTATGTCAGTTTATTACCTGTATATGTTTCTTGGGGTTGAGTTAAGTTCTTCTTATTCTCTTAACATCTTATGAGAAATGATACATTCTATCACAAGGGAAATAGTATGAGTTCAACATTGGGATTTGCACTGATTCCGGCTAATGTATCTCTTGTTGATGATGAACATAAGAATGAATGATATGTACAATATGAGTAGCATATAATGATATGTAACCAATATTTTATTTTATTTTATTTTTTGGTAGTAGGAAGAATAAAAAAGAAGTCTGTTGAGATCTGTTAAAATTAAGACGAAAGGTACTACGTTGAATGATATGATTAAGGACGAACGAGAAGTAAAAGAGAGAGAGAGAGAGAAAGAGCCGTCGTGTTAACCTTGTTGTTCGTATTAGTACTAAGACGAATTGAAATCGGACACTCGGCATGTGTATTCGAAAGTATGGACAAACAAGAAAAAGAAAATATAGAACGGTTCACCTTGACCCTGACATTTGCAGTTCTTCTTCATTTGTTGTAAAAGAGACAATTGATACTACTAATATTTGAAAACAAAAATTCTTTTTTTTTTTTTTGTACTTAAAGAAGAAAAAAAAACCGATTGACTAAATATCATTTGCTTGTCAGACGTCGCGACAATGATGATAATAGTTGTTCTATTGATCAGTATGCCACTATTTTTAATATCGAAATTGGACACGCCTTACGTTTAATTACAATGTCTCTATTCGTTTCTTTAGTATTTGTTTTTTGTTTTGTTTTGTTTAATTTCATATGCCAATATGTTGATTGGTAATTATAATATAAGTCTAGTCAAGATTTTTCTTTTCATCTCTATTTAGATGATTAAATATATGAAAATTCGTACAAGATTGAAAATGATTTTAATGATTTATTTTATTTTTACTATCAAATCTATTGATACTAGTACTCAAGGTATATATTAGACATTCTATTTTTTAATAAGTTTCTTTTTGTGGTTATTTTTATATTTATAGTATGTAATGGTCCATTAGGTATGATTAGTGGTGAAATACGTGATTGGCAAATAACAGCATCATCAACACTTTGGGATACTGATTGTCATGAAAAAAATGCTCGATTATATCAACCATCAGATCGTGCATGGTGTGCACGACATAAATCCGATTCCGAATGGTTACAAATTGATTTGGGTATTGCTGCTAAAGTTAGTTGAAAAGTTTATATTTTGAAAAAATAAATTTATGAAACAATGTTTTATTTTAGATATCAGGTGTATTAACTCAAGGTCGAGCTAATAAAGAAGAATATGTTATGTCATTTATGGTATCATATAGTACTGATGCTTTTCGATGGCAATATCTTGTTGATCGATATGGAAATCAAAAAGTATGATAATCATAATGAGAAAATGAATATTTATTTTTCAAATAATTGAAAGTATTTGGAATTTAATTAGAAAATAAAAAGAAATAACGTCTAATATACACTTGATTGATGTGAACGTTATTTCTATAATTGAAATCTGTAATTGTGATTGAATTTATATATTTTCTTTTTGTTAGTTAATTGAAATAGTTGCTAGTACAGTCTATCGGCTTTGATCTGACTTGAGTGAACAACATCTAACAGTTTTTCTTTTATGAAAAAAAAAAAAATGTAAATTCAAATGATTACTTGAAATAATTTTACAGATCTAAGTTTTTATGCGCATTTTAAATTTTGATAAAGTTTAATATATACGTCAGACGTAAAGGTATTGAAATAAAAATTGAATAAATCAAGAACGACATCTCTGAGTGATGTGAAATTTTTAATAGGATCAACAAGGATAAAGAAATACTGATTTATTAAAAATTGAAGGGTTTCACAGTAGGTCATTAGTGTAATCAAAAAAAAATAACTTATTTCAATGAACAAATTAAATTTTTCATCGATGAAATCAGTTTTTCGTCTATACATATATGACTTACTTAGACAACATATGTCACTGAATGACTATGTACAATCTTTCAAATGTTTAAAAAAAAAAAGATACTCCAACATATTTTATTATTGAAGCACAATATTTCCTATAGTAATTCATGTATAAAAAAAATACATTAATTATTATATGACATATGATTTCAAGTCATTGCTTTTTAGAGATTGCGATGAATTACTACATCCAATTCAATTGTTTTTATACAACAGTATCTGTTTTGTTTCTTCTTTCTAGTTTTAAATACTCGAAATCGATAGTAATCAAGTACTTTCAGGTTTAGTGCTGACATTAGTTGTCTTTTATGAAGATTTTTTAATCATTGAATGAAGTGACGAGACTAGCAGGAGAAGAATAATTTTTTTACTGGTAATGATCTTTGAGAATTTTTTTTTTATTCAAAATCTTGTCTCTTAGATTGTATGTCCTATACTGATTTACTTCATAATATATAACATTCTAAATTCAAGATATTTAATAGACATGCCGTACATACCACAATTATTCAACCAAGTTTATTTTCAATTTTTTCCACTGCCGCAAGTACTAGAAAGAATCCAAATCATGGTGCGAATAGAGAAAAGTGTTTCTAAAAAGCATTTAAAGAAATAAAAATTATGATAAGATTTCCAAAGACAGAGACTTCAGAAAACTAGTTTTTCAGCATCTAGAACGCACTAATATAGCTCTGTTCAGATTGTATAGAGTGATAGAGCAAAGAATTCTCTGTAATGTCTAACGAAAATTTATAAAGTCATTTTTTTATCATTTTCTGAGAAAAATCCAATTTTAGGCGTAAAATCAAGTTACTATATCCCAGCGAAGAAATACTGCAGCGAACTCGGCAATGTCTCATTTTTCAGAGAGCAATCTAGTCTATCGTTCTAAGTAGTGTCAACAAAAGTACGGCAACGCATTTTAAGTTTTCTGAAAATAATTTTCTTTATTCGAGTCACGATTTAGACTCCTTGTAATGCTTATATCAGTGAAAAAATTGAAAATAAATCTTGCTGAATAATTTCGTTGCTCATTAAATAAAACAACTATATTCTCTAGAATAAGATTATTAGAAGATGTGCTGTTCCTTCTTAAAAATTTAATGATCAATCTTGTTTTTTCCTTTTGAATAGATATTTTCTGCGAATACCGATTCATATTCAGTTCGTCATAATTATTTTGACGAACCCATTGTTGCACGTTTTATTAAATTTCATCCGATTCAATGGCATTTACATCCATCGTTACGTGTAGAAATTATTGGCTGTCAAGGTTTAAAAGTTTTCATTCAATTTATGTACTTAATTTTATTATATATATATATCTTAGAATGTAAACAATATTTGGGTTTACCACCATATGGAAAAATTAGTGCATCAACATCATGGCCATATCGTCGACATGCATCATGTCAACCTGAAGATGGTTATATAATGAGTAATAAAGGATGGTGTGCAAGAAAACGATATAGTTAGTTTTAAGAAGACAAAAAAAAACATGAGAATATTTTTCTTTAATAATTTATTATTTTTAGAACATGATCAATGGCTTGAATTTGATTTGGGTCATCCATCGATTATCACATCATTGATAACTAAAGGTCGAGGTGATACATTTCAAGATCAATGGGTTACAAAATATAAAGTTTCATTTTCAAATGATACACGTTTATGGGTCTATTATAAAGATAAATCACAAATTGAACCAAAAGTTTGTATTTTTGTTGTTTTTTCAATTCAAAAAATTAAAATTTTTATTTATGATAATTTATTTTTTGAAAGGAATTTTCTGCAAATAATGATCGTGATAGTGAACGTATACATTTTTTAAATGAACCATTTTTTGCTCGATTTGTTCGTTTACATCCAACTGAATGGCATAATCATGTTAGTATGCGAGCAGCTATCTTAGGATGTCCGCATCAAGGTAATTTTATTTTGAATTTTAAGGAAAATCTAATCAAAGTCTATTTTTTTTCGTTTTCTATTCATAGGTGCTTGTTTTCCAGGTTATTTTCGTGTGAATAGTGAAGCTCAATGCGGTAAAATAGCTTTGTTTTTTTTTTTTTGTTTCTAAGAAATATATTTGAGAAATATCTTTTTTCTTTTTTATTAGTGGAAAATATGGCATATAAAAAACAAACATGGACAAATGATCGAAATCGCCGTCAACAACAAAATATTATTGGTGAATCAAAACTTCGTAGTGCAAGAGAAACAAATGGTGATCCATCATTAGCTGTTGATGGTTTAGAAGATTCATTAGATTGGTCAAAATGTGCTACAATTGATAATTATTTTGTTCGAAAACCAGTTTGGATGGTTGATTTAGGTCGAATAACAAATATAGCTGGTGTTATGTTACGAACATGGCATGGAAATAATAAAGGTATGAAAATATTTAATTGAGTTTTAAAAAAATATGTATTTTTTTTTTTTTTTTTATTGTTTTGAAAATATTTTAGCAAACAATTTAACAACATCATCATCAGTTTATCGAGATTATTTAGCAAATTTAGAGCGTTATAATGTTTATGTTCATTATCGACCACGTCGATATCGTTTTAATAATGCAAATTTATGTTCATTTATAACACGTACTGATCAAGCATTAACTTCATCATCTCGTCTTCATTTTCAATGTCAACATCAATTACGTGGTCGTTTTGTTTATATTGAAGCTGATGGTGTAACGGATCGATGGAATAAACTATTTACTGCTGTTCTTTGTGAAGTGTTTGTTTATGAGCAGTAGATTAAAATTATTCTTTTTTTGTTTTTTCGTCAATTGTCAGATTTTTTTCGATTCATGTATGAGTGTTTCTATGTCTGTCTGTCTTACATTAGATATTGTTCATTTCTTTTTCTTTTTCTTTTTTGTGTTTTATTTGCGTGTATTATATGCAAAGATTATAACATTGAAAAAAATAATCAAATTTGTTTTTTTTTTTGAAAATTGACTTACATTATATAGATGAATAATGTGTACCTTGAATATAGTTTTATGGAAGGATGATATAACATATAAAAGAAAGCATTGTTTTGATTGATTTATCTTTCTTGAAATAAAGTTTTTTTTTTTGAAAAGAAATATGTTTTTACTTTTATTAAAAAATAATTATTAGTTTTTTTTTTCATTTGAATCGATATTGAATCAAAAATAAAGTATTAAATAAGAAAATTTCTTTTTTTTAGTTTTGCTAGTATATCAATTTCATAAATCAATCAGTTCAGTTGTTGAAATTTCAACAATGCAGCCATAAAATCTCGTATAGATTCTATGAATAGAAGCGGAATATATTGATCATTTACATCTAAAATCAAGGACAATTAATACCTAAAATTTAGAATCTTTCATAAATAATAAAATTTCAATCATATCGAAACAACTCATAGATATGTTCGTGATTATATCATTAGTAAAGTTTCACAACGAAATGCTTACTTATTATAGAATCACATGCACCAGGTAATCACCCAAACTGAAAACATATCCTTGTTAACACTTACCTTCCAATTGTTCATCCAAAAAAAAGCATCTTGAATTTATGCGTAATCAAAACCTAGTAATTTGCATATGTTAGGCATCATAATCAAGGTTTTCTTTTTCAAAAAGTGTAAAAGTAGAAAAATAGCTGCTTTTATATAAAAGTTCTTGTTTATAGGACGATGATTGCATGTAGTGCAGTGTCCAACTAATTGCTTTTTAATCGCTTTGTTGTCATGGACAAGTTCTCTTTTTCTTCTTCTTCTTCTACTCGACACATAAGTCATGATTCTAGTCAGTCATTTAATTTCACCACGTGAGTATCATGTTAACTTGGATAAAAGCTTGCTGCAATCATGAGAATATGACGAGTACACATATGAAATTTGTTTTCGAAAATTCGATCGTATTTGAAAGATATCAATATGTAGAAAACAATAATTAACAAATGTTACTTTGCTTATTTATTGATGTATGTTACAATCTGAAAGCAATCAATGATATTTTAGATGTTATATTCATATATAACGGGTGGTCGAAAAGTTTTCTGACAAAATGTTGAAAGTTGATTCATATATAGAAAAGCCAAGGGGGAAACGGCGGACTTTTGGACTTGAAGTTACTTTGAGCTACTTTAAGCTACTTCAAGTTACTTTTAGCTACTTGAAGTAGCTTACTTTGAAGTACTTTTCAACTTCAAATTTACCTGAAGTTACTTGAAGTTACTTTAAGCTACTTGTTCCTACTTTGGACTACTTGGGTGGTACTTTGAGCTACTTCAAGTAGTCTACTTTCACGTACTTTGACGTACTTTTCTACTTCAAGTCCGCCGTTTCCCCCTTGAGAAAAGCTATCGGAACAACTTTTTTTTTACTGATTACATAGCTTGTCGTGTCCTCTATCTATACTATTAATTTGAGATTTTTCGATCGATCTATTGCTGTTAAAATGATTGATCTTCACAAACGTGTTTTTTCTATGCTTGGACAAAAAAAATAACGACAACGCATAATAAATGACTGCAGTTTACATCTCACATTGTTATGTCTAAATCCGTTTTATTAGAAAAACAAAATATACCATAAGATGCAGCGTGAAAAGCTCTACAACATACAAAGTAAAGCTTATTTTAATTGCGTGCTTGTTCTTTTCAAAAAAACTCGAAATTCCATGTAACCAATTTTCGACACTATGAAAAGAAATAACTCGTGTAGCAAAAAATGATCTTCTTAGAGTCGAAAATTGGTTACATGGAATTTCGCGTTTTTGGAAAAGAAAAAGCACACAATTAAAATAAACTTTACTTTGTATGTTGTAGAGCTTTTCACGCTACATCTTGTGGTATATTTTGTTTTTCTAATAAAACGGATTTAGACATAACAATATGAGATGTAAACTGCAGACATTTATTATGCGTTGTCGTTATTTTTTTTTGTCCAAGCATAGAAAAAACACGTTTGTGACGATCAATCATTTTAACAACAATAGATCGATCGAAAAATCTCAAATTAATAGTATAGATAGAGGACACGACAAGCTATGTAATCAGTAAAAAAAAAGTTGTTCCGATAGCTTTTCTATATATGAATCAGCTTTCAACATTTTGTCCGAAAACTTTTCGACCACCCGTTACTTTTATTATTATTTTACGTGACTTAAATTATTTATGGGAGAAGAAACTTCAAACGCCTAGAAAAATTTTTTCACATGGCTTATATCAATCAAATACGAGAGATAGGAATAATCAATTGAGAGAAAAAAGTGTAGGTAAGACTTTTTTTTTCATCGAAATCTATTCTAAGACCAATAAGAGTGATCATTATTCATTATAATGTTCTTAATGTAAGTTTAAGATTTAGAAATACCAAATGTCGTATGAAATCAAGTATTAACATAATCGACGCTTGTACAGTCAGCGATTTTTCTTTACTTGAGATTTGCTCAATTAACATTTTAGTTGGAATATGTATTGAAAATAAATTCAAACATACTTTGAAAATACAACTAACTACTTCAAATATGTTGTACAAATATTATAAATTTTGTTTTGCTAATATACAATGAAAAAAAGGTGTAGCATTAATGATTTGTAAAAAGTATTCTAAATTTTAATTTTATTAAAGAAAAAACATAAGCATTCTTAGAATGAATTTACACTAGAAAGAAAAATGTCATTTTCTGTAATTGAGAAAAAAAAAGTTTTAAGGGCAAGTGTGATAAGACTATCGAATTGCATACTTTTTTCTGTATTGTTTATTTAAAAACTTTTTCTTTTTTTTCTTTTTTGAAACTATGTCATGCACATTTATTTACTCATTCTTTGTGTAGTTGTATTAATTACAAATAATATATTTATTAGTTGTTCCAACATTGCATCATTGACATACATCAGTAAAGATTTATTTTTTAGGAAAAAAAAGAATTATTTTATTCAATCTATAAATTGATGTTGAATAAAGAGAATTAAGTACTTGAGTTTAATGAGTTAAAAAAAAAAGAAAAAGAAGAAAATGCTTTTTCTCTAATTTCAAGATTAAACATTAATAGAACTCAAAGAAATTTTAGTATTATTGGTTCGAATAAATTTTCAGCCGATGTTATTATGTTGATGTAATTTTCTTTTTTCTTCTCTATTCCTCTAACAATGCTTGACTTAGAAGAAAGACAAAAAACAAGTCTGTTTGTTTTCGGCTTTCTTACCAATCTTGTTATATGTAAAAGAATTGTAAGAAGATTAAATTGAATTTCTTTAGGCATTGTATAACGTACATCACTAATCAGCGATGATATTTCGTCTGTCAACTATTCGTATTCTTGTGATTTTAGTTCTTGTTACTACAATCATATGTACAATAATTTCACGATGGTTATTTCCAATTAGTTCTTCTCATAATGCAAATAATAGAATAGATTTTTCTTCTTCAATATTGGAAAGTAAACAATCACAATCCCCTCCATCAATTTTAATCGATGCGCCTGTACGTGATGAACTTGTTGGATTGCAATTTCGTCCTCTCAGGTAATATATAAGTTACATATCGATAAGAAAAATCACTATTTTGTATAAAAACGCAATAACATTTCAAATATTTGTGTGTATTCTTCTTTTTAAGTTTCTTTTAATTGCTGTCAACAATGTTATTTTTAAACTAAAGGAAAAAGAAGAAGAACGTAGTGTTTTTCATGTTTTTTGCATGTCTTTGGCTTTTTTTTTGTTTATTATTAATCATGAGTACCCTTGAATTTAATAATATTATGAAGTAAATAGAAACGCTGTTACCACAATATATGCGAGATTAAAATATGAAACACCATGTAGCTGTTATTGTTAATCACACAAAGATTGTTTTATTCTATCGATTTTGGGATACCTTTCTTCACCATCTTTGTATTTAATCATCAAGAAATATATTAAGAAAGTAGTTCATATGTCATAATGAGACGTTATTGATATAAAATCTTTCAAAACGGGAGAGGAAGCATTGTTAATATGTCTGTTAATAGTTTGTAATAAACAAGAGATTCTGCTAAGAATGTTTAACATGAGTTTGATGAGTTGCTCCTCATGTATCTACCAGGTTATTTCACAAGTTATGAAAAAAACAATCTATTTATTCTCTCAGCCAAGAATAAACGGTAACTATTTTTTTTTTCGATTAATTTCTCATGATAAACAGCAAGAACTTATTGACAAGACTACAATATTAATTTTTCATAATTTTTCAAATATTACAGATATTTATTGAAAACAATTGTACTACTTAAAAACAAATTTTAAGAACATTTCTCTTATAAATATGAACTATGAATATTCCTTTCTTAGTAATAAAAATATTAATCCATATGATCAAAATATGGTGGAAATATTCAAAATTTTCTTTATTTAGTTATTTTCTATATATCCTTTATAATATTAAGAAATACAATTTTGATCATTATATTTAATTATAGGATTTCACCAAGTGAACTTAATCAACCAGTATTAAAACATGAATATATAACAAAAACATTATCTTATGATGAAAAATTATTTCGTGAATCATCTACTCCTATTCTATGGTTAGATGAACAAAGTGATGTTCGATGGAATAAAGTTGCTGAAAATGGTATGATAAATTATCTTACTCAAAAACAATTTCCTAATCTAGACCGAATGGGAAAATCATCGTTGAATAAAGAAGAAATATTAAATATATGTCGTGCACAATCACTCTTTGCTTTACATCAACATTGGTCAGGATTTTTCAGTCGAGTACTTTGCTTTATAGCTCAATTTGGTCAAATACTTTATACTCCTCGTATAGGTGTACTTCGTGATGCTCGATTTTCAGGTTCACGTGGTGAAGTAGATGATTTTTTAAATCAAGGTATGAAACGTTATTTTTTACCAATATCAATTTGTTCAGCATATGAATATCATCCTGACATGAGTACTTTAAGAAATCTAATTGAAACAGCACCAAATCCTTTACATATAAGAAGCAGTCAGGAATTATATGAAAATGGAAATAATAGAGTAGATCGTATATTTTTATCAACAGAATTTTGGAAAAGAGACTATCATCATGTACCTATACGAAAATGGTTATTTGATCGAAAACGAACATCAATATCATATAATTCTTCAGTAGATATTCTTACAGATCATTCTGATGAACATATATATGCTCCCAAAAATGAACAAAATGTTTCTATTGGTGAATGGATTGATAGAAATAAACCCGATGCATTTTCTTCTGATCTTTTACCAAATAAAGGTAATTATGTATTAACATGGAAAGATTATATATTCGGTTCATTTCTTCGTTATATGTTTGTATTATTTTTTGGTTCACAAAATTCTCCACGTATTGAATTTGGTGTTCGAATATTAACTCAATATTGGTTAAGTTATATCGCTGATAAATATTCTGTACCTTCTAATCTTACGATATTTGATAAACTTGCTGGTTTATATATTCGTCGAGGTGATAAATCAATTGAAGATTCATTTTGGCGGAAACATGGGCATTGGCGGAATATTTCATTATATATTAAAGCTATTGTTGATGAAGAACAACGTCGAAAAACAATGTTTAAATATATTTTTGTTATGACAGATGATCAATCTGTTACGGCATCAATACGAGATTATACAAAACTAGATTCAAAAGGTACTGATGAACCATATGCACGACGATATTTACGTGGAAGAGAAATTCTTCATAATGTATTGGCACCACAAGAATGTTTTGATCCATTTCTTCGTATTGGATTTGATCAATTTCTTGTTAGTATGCGATTTTTAATTGAACATTCAGCTTTTACAGTTGGTCATACAGATTCGAATGTTTTTCGATTTTTTCGAGAAGTTGTTTATGCTCAACGACAGCATCGAACAGATGTACAAACGTTTACATATGTTCGAGATGCTCCAGATTCTTTTGAAAGTAATACACAGCAACAAACAACAATAAAAAATAATTAAAATAATTGATTGCATTAAATGATTTTATTTTTTTTTTATTGTAAAAACTAAAAACTAATAGTTTTTGATAATAAAATCAGATCCAGTAGATACTAGTAAGTTTTTCATTGAAAAAAACTAGTTGATGATAATTTTTTTTTCGAAATATGTAGAAATAAAATTTAAGAATATCAAATTAAAGTTATTGGATTTCGAATATTTTGCTTGATTTATAACTCATAGAATAAGACAAAAGGTAATTTTTACTTTATAACAAGGACAATTTATGGTGTGCGGAAGGAGAGAAAGCTGAAAGAAAAAACTATTGAAAATCTTAACGAATAAGACATTTTGTGTTTTTGGCACAAGTGACATGTGTGCATAGGTACCAGTGTGAAGTGTGAGTTCTAATCTTCTCTTCATCTATACTCATATTTGCTCTCACATGCAACACCCACTATGGAAACATGATTGTTTTTTCAATATTTTTTTACTATCCATTATAAAATAAAATGTGCTCTACTGTTTTTTGAAACAATTTTTGATAAGAATGTCAAAGAGATTTGTAATTGTCATCATTCAAGAGAGACAGTGACTACCAGAAATATTCGACCGAGTTTATTTTCGATTTTTTCCGCTGTCCTAAACGCTAAAATGAATCTAAACAGTAACTTCAGTAAAAAAGATTGTTTTTAACAAGAATATAAGACGATAAAAACTATCATCAGATTTCTATAGACGAGATTTCCAGAAAACCAAAATCATAGTTTTTCAGCATCTAGAATGCACAAATATTACTTTGTTTAGACTACTTGGAAGGATAAGACGAATCTTTTTCTACTAAATAAGGATATCTCTGAGTTCTGTAAAACTTTTTAGCTGAGATATGGTATAATTTTACAAAAAATCATTAAGTTGTTTTTTAGTCGTTTTCTAGAAAAAAAAACCGTTTTCGGATTTAAAATCCAGTTACTGTATTTCAGTCAATAAATGTTGTAGAGAACTTGAAGATATCTTATTTTGTAGAATATTGTTTGCTCTATGGTTCTATCTAGCCTAAAAACAGTCTGTTTATGCATTTTAGGTACTGAAAACTATGATTTTGGTTTTCTGGAGATTCTGTCGATAGGAATTTGATCATAGTTTTTATTGTATTAAATTCATGTTAGAAACAATTTTTTTTTACAAAAGTCATTTTTTTAGATTCTTTCTAGTGTTTCAGACAGCGAAGAAAATTAAAAATAAACCCAGTCGAATAATTTTGGTAGCCACTGTAGCTTCAGAATATCGTTTCACAAACCTACATCAAGAGCTTATCTGATTAATCAGTTTCTGACTAATCAAGTTTCGGCATACTTCGATAGCCTCGGATTTTCTTTCTTGAATGGTAAAAATGGCAAGTCTCTCTGATGTTCCTGTCAAAAGTTATTCAGAAAACAGTGGAACACATTATATTTTGAAATGAATAGTCATTTCAACATTTCCCCATTTTTACAATTATTTCTCTACAATCAACTTAATTTGTTGCTTTTAAAGTCATAAGTTCTACTTTAAAATGTTGATACTAAATAGCCATTCTTCATAGAAGCGATTAGCCTGCTTTTATTTTTTATTTTTCAAAACTATTGGTATTTAACGATTTGAATAGGATCAACTTCCTTTACAAATGTATTGATCGAAATGCAAGCTCAGAGGTATTGCCAATGATCAAATAGAAAAATAATCCTGATAAGACACAGGATCAGAAAAAATTTGATATTATTCACGTCGATATTCAATATTTACTTAGTTTCATTTATTTCACACAGCTTCTCAACATAACTTTCCAAGTGTATATGATCTGCAAGAATACATTATAAAAATATTCTTTTCATATTCGTCTATCTATAATTTCAACATTCAAGAAGTAGTTAACAATGGTAAGAAAACAATAAAATTTATTATGTCAAGAAAGAAAAATAGATCATCATACTTTTCGATCTGTAGAAATTTCTTTTCATTCTTATCAATCTCTGTGTTGGATGTCAAGCAAATACTCTTATAAATACGAATTTTTCAACCGCATGGGCTAATTTTATACAAGATCCTCAATTATCATATGCTACATATTCGATTACTATTCTTGATAATTCTACAGGAAATATTACATTTTCATTTAATAAAGATGTTGGTCTTGCACCTGCATCAACTCTAAAAACTGTAACCGGTGCAGCTGCACTACATTATTTGGGTAAAGATTATCGATACAAAACATTATTAGAATATTCAGGAAAGATCAATTCATTTGGTATTTTGAATGGATATATTTATATTGTTGGTGAGTTATCATAGTTTACAAAAAAATATTTTTTAGAAAGTTTATTTATTTGTATATATAGGAAATGGTGATCCTAGTTTAGGTAGTTGGCGATGGAATGAAACAACAGGTGAAGTAATTATACAACGTTGGGTGAATTTAATTGCTGAAAAAGGTATAAAACATTGCCGAGGAATCGTACTGGATTTAAGTGCATGGGCAGGTCAAACACAAACAGTACCAAGTGGGTATACATGGGGAGATATAGGGTAAAATACCGTTAATACATTATATTTATTTCGACACATTAAAAATATATATAGAAACTATTATGGTGCAGGTAGTAGTGCATTGAATTGGCGTGAAAATCAATTTCGTCTTATTCTTTCACCTGGTCTGGCTGTTGGCGATCCTGTTACTCTCGTGTTTATTGATCATCCACCACCATCAGTAACATTTATTAATGAACTTATTACTGGACCTTCAGGTACTGGAGATCTTACAAGTTTATATTTAGCTCCTGATGGAACCTATGGTTATTTACGTGGCTCATTAGGTATTGATTCATCAAAAAATTTTTCTATTGGTGGTGCTGTACCTAATTGAGCATTATACATTGGTGATGCACTTCGCCAGGGTATGGGCTGGTCTGATACCACACCGATCAAAATCATTTATCAAAAAGAAATCAATGCTACTAATCGAACAACACTCGATATATATCAATCACCACCTATGAGTGAACTAGTTTATTGGTTTGAACAATCTAGTATCAACATGTATGGCGAAGTGTTTGTAAAAACAATTGCTCAGATGACTAATTCAAGTGTTAATAGTGTATTACCCGTATATTGTGAAACTGTACATGGTATTGAACAGATAGCAGTAGCAACTATCGATGGTTCAGGTTTATCACCTGAAAATCGGATAACAACTTGGGCTATTGCACATGTTTTATATAATGTTCGACAACGAGCATCTTGGTTTTCAGAGTTTGAACGTGCTTTACCGATTATTAATGGAATTCGTATGAAACCTGGATATATTCAGAATGCTCTATCATATGCTGGCTATGTGAATCATCGAGTCTTTTCAATTATTACAAATAATTTTAATGGACAAACGAGTACAATTCGACGAAAAATATGGAATTTACTTGATACACTAAAATAAATTTTGATAATAAACATCTATCTAATAATTCTATTTTATATATAACAAAAAAAAACTATAAGGCAAGGAATCATTATTTTTCTTTCTTCAGGATAAAAACAGGCAACAAAATTGAGGATCTTGGTCACATTTTACTCAAATACATGTTAATAGACATAGGATATTGCTATGGAAATAAACAGTGTGATGTAGCATTCATTCGTAGTAATTGCTATGATGCAATTCTTGTTTTTTCAGTTGAACCAAATTGATAATGGTATATTTAACAATATTTTACTAGTAACAATTCCAACTCTAAGATACATCAATATTTGTTAGACACATATTTGATTTTAATCAGCGAATATAGAATCATGTGATAGTTCAAGTTGGCGGTTTCTTGAATTCTTGATGGTAGTAAGAATACAAATGAAAGCCGGTGAGAAGATTATTGACTATCTTTGATGACGCTTAATTCTCAACATACAGATGATTCTTTTTTATTATTTTCATCAATTTCTCAATTATCATATGGTACACTTTCCATTACTATTCTCGATAATTCAATGGAAAATATTGTACTTATTTTCATTCAATAAAAATGTTAGTCGTGTACCTGTATCTACTTAAAAAAGAAATTAGCAATCCTTACAGCTACTCTTCATTATTTTGATAGAGATTATCAATGTAAGACACTATTGGTATATTCTGAAAATATCAATGCAATGAATATTTTAAATGGATATATTTATTTTGTTGCTGAGTTGTCATACATTTCAAAGATTATTCTTAAAAAATTTATTTTAATATTATTTTATCACGGTCTAACAATTTGGCTTACTGTATGTGTTTAGTATAACGTTCGACAACGAATATCAAGATGCTTCATCGTTTGAACATACATCATTGAATAAGAATGAAACCCATATGAAAGGTAGTTTCAGTAGAAATGTTCTATCTAGTAACTTTCATCAGAGCCATTTTTAGGAGCAATCGGAGCTCTCTAAATTGCCTATCAGAAAATTAAGTTGAACACTACAGGTTTTATCTGAATGATGAATATTATTTTTTGATACTTTTTCTATAAACTGATTTTTTGTGAAGACACGATTCATATCTCCTCAGGGTGTTGCAAAGGTGACAAAAGTAAACATTAAGTTTGACTCTAACTTCTTCTGATGGACGTAGACCTCAAAAGAACACTAATCAAAGTCAGAAAATATGCTACTTCGTATTATAAATAAGAAAGTATCTAATCTATTAGTGAAACATTTAATTGACTTTGACTCAACTCCAACGCACCGAACCCTTTCTTTTCTATTCTGATTATATCAATAATCAAATATTTTTAATTATAACAAATAAATAAAATGTGTCGGGCGGAAAGTACGTATTATTTGACAAAGACCAAGTGTCCTTATTTGTTGATGCTTTTAAATAAAGTTCAAAGAAATCAACTAAATAAAAATCAATATAACTATTTTGTTTTTTGTTTCTTCTACAATATCTATGCCGTTCAGATTGAGTGCTTTTTGAATATGAATGCAATCGTTGTTCTTTTTCTTTTTATATTCTATATAAAAATAATACGTAAAAGAGATGCTAAACGACCTTGAGTTTGTTTTCTTATTCAATTTTAAAAAGTGACATAAGTTTTATTCATGCAGTTCTTTATAATTGTGTGCTGTACTGTCGGAGATCGAACTACTTTAATAAATTTTCTGTAATAATTTGAGTTTATTAATTTTATCTGATTAACATAGACCAAATTTATTTACTTGCCTACGATTATAATTGCTTTTCTTAAGACCTATACGGCTTACATTATTTTTATTCATTGTATTTTTTTTTCTAATTATTAACTTTCTTCTATTATATGTTTTAACCTTCTAAAATAATGCTCACATGCAGCACCATAAATTTTTTTTTTTTTCTTTTCTTTTTACCTGTTGTCGATAGCAGAAAATAATATAAAAGAAAAAGAAAATTGTCGTGCTGACGCACAAATGTTGTCGTAAGTCAATACACGCTCAATAACAACTGACATACAGGCAATAGTCTTTTTTTTGGCAACATGACTCTTTCGATAAAGAAACGCTTCAAATCAGCAACGAATGTAAGCATTGTTTTTTTCTATGTTAATTTACGAAATACTCTAATTAATAACAGATGATCATGGTTTTCTTTCAAATTGAAATATTTAGATAGCTTCTATTGGTAATGATGATAGCAACGCATTAGGTGAAGTTCTTCATCGTTCAACTAAAACATCTAAATCGGCAAAGAAATCAAAGAAATCTGATCAATTTTTACATCCTGGCCATACTATTTGTACTGATAGTGATTTTGAAATTAAATCACGATCATCATCAGTCGAACGTTCAGTTACATATAAAACTAGATGTCCATGCGAGACACATTATGATAAACAATTAGTTGAACGTAATTATGCTTTAATTGCTGATAAATTATTTGATTTAATATTTGGTAAAAATGAATTTGTTCGAACGTATAGACAAGCTCAACGTATTTATGGTTTGTTAGATTAATGAATAATTTTATTTCTTTTTTTTTTAAGTAAACAATAAGTTATATTTCTTTAGATGATACAGCAACTGAATGGGCTATGAATGAAGAAACTAAATGTCAAGAACGAGTACTGACTTATAAAGTACCATTAGAATCTACATTAATTGGAAAAGGAATTATTTCAACACGCGAAAAACAAGTAAGACATGTTATATCATTTAACATAGAATTGAAAGATTAAAATCTAATCAAAGCGTCATCTTTATATACTGTTTGAATTAATATGACTTGATTAATAACTATAGTATTTCAATTGTTTAGAAATTACATTTAAAAAAAAATAGTGGTTGTTTTTATTTTAAAGAACAAACGTTTCTTCGTTTTGCGTCAGGTCAAATATTCAAGTACAATTTCATAGTTTGTTACTCACTTCAACAAACTTTAAAATACCTTCCGAATAGACATTTACAACAATAGAAAAAAAAATGAAATACATTTGGCTTAATACAATGAATGCATAAAATTGTTTATGAGATCTGTTGAAATTTCAATAGAAGCAAGTTAAGCAAGATCATTATTATTAACAACAAAATATTTCATAAGAGAATCGAATTTTTCATTTTTATTTTAAGTTTAACATAAATTTTATTTCGCCTACACATTATTTTTTGTATGCAATGTGAAAGCCATATTAAGACAAAAAGAAAACTGTATAATATTGTTCATGATTAAGTATAAATATAACTAAATTAACATTTTTGTCTGTGTTGAATTAATTTATTTTTAACAATTTCAAATTATCTCTAAATATTACTAGACGTTTATTGTAACATCAATCTTTTGATTATTATAGTCAATTCTTTGCGTTTAGCAAAAAAAAACAAACAAATTTTTGTCAAAAATAACCGAAAACGAGCGCTGAAGTATGTTAGGTAGAAATTTGCACCCCCTATCGATCATGACAGACGGAATCGACAGATTATAACAGACATAACCATAGAAACAGTATGACTGTTGTAAACGTCTTAGCAACATTTCTGTCGTGCGTCACAGATTGCAACAAACATTATTGACATACGATCACAGATCGTAACAGATGCCTTAAAAAAATCTGCCCCCTCCAAGCAGACAAACATTTTCAAAAACGCGTTTAAACGCACAAAAAAGGGCTTAAAATCGATAAAAAGTGGCCGTGTTTGGCTCACAATCGCGGTTCTCGACTGTCAGCGAAAAACGACTATCTTTTGCCCTTTTTGTGCGTTTAAACGCGTTTTCAGCAAAAACACGCTTGTAAACTCGTATAAACGCACAAAAAGAATATAAAAAGTAGCTATCTTTTTCCTTATCGTGAACTGTGATTGTAATTATGATTGTGATTTATGAGTATGAAAAAGATAACAACTTTTTATGAGCGTCTTATGCGTTTACACGCGTTTATCACCATTTTTTTTGCTGAAAACACGTTTAAACGCACAAAAAGGGCAAAAAGTGGTCGTTTTTCGCTGAAAGTTGGGAACCGCGATTGTGAGCCAAACACGTCCACTTTTTATCGATTTTAAGCCCTTTTTTTGTGCGCTTAAATGCGTTTTTGAAAATCTTTGTCTGCTTGGGTCCTTGCATCACAGACTAAGACAGGAAATTGTTAATATGTGATCAAAGACTGTATATCAAAAAGATCTCGTTATAATATATGAACTGCTATCTTATCATATTTGTGGAGGATGAAGTAAAATCATGATCAAGAAATGTGTCGCAATATAGATAGAATAAAACAATCTAGAAATGATTAGTGACAGTAGTTAGATTGTAGCTTACATTTAAAATCTACTGGAATGTCACTAACAGTTTTTAGATAATAACAGGAAAATTAAGAGAAGAAAAACAGATTTTTACAATGGATTTTTCTTATTTTAGACAATTTTACATAAAGAACCTGGCTCTCATTACATTGTTGAAACTGAAGTATTCAATGAAGGTGTTAAATATAGTGATACATTTTCTCTAGCTATACGTTATTGTATTGTACAAACATCTGTAACAACAACTCATTTACGTGTTACTGCTCATGTTCGTTTTTGTAAATCGCTTATGGGTTTTATAAAACGTTCGTATTATGTTTCATTTTTTTTTCTTTTATTATCTTATCTTTTTTCTATTGTTAAAATTTGTTTCTTTTGTAGAAATTATTGAACGTAATGCATATTCAGCATCACAAGAAAGCTTTAAGGATTTGAGTATGTCAAAAATTTCAAATGGTTCATTTTGAAATAAAAGAATATTTAATTCTAGATAATCGTCTTCACCTTGTTAGTAATTTTAAGAAGGGTAAAAAGAAATCCCATAATTTATATTTTGAAATATTAAATCATTTTTATATTTATAAAGAGAGACGTCGGTCAAGTCGAGGCGAACTTACATTGCCTGTTCCATTACTAACAAATGCTGAGGCTCGTCGTATGAGTCGACATGATGCACTTGGTATAACACCATTAAATCAAACCATGAATTACGATGATAAAAGTATGTTGAATAAAAATAAAAATAAAAATAAATATATTTCATTTTTTATTTTATTTATTCTATTAGATCATTATGTATTATCAATATTTTCTAATCCAAATAAAACTATATATTTATTTATTTTTATGTATGAAAAATTTGTTTCTTTTTTTTTTCTTTTCAATTTAAAATTAAATTAATTTTTCTATATTTTTCAGAACTGCTTTTCTTTTATTAATTCATTTATATTTATATCTTAAACTTAAACATATGGATGTTCTTGTCGATAGTTTAACACACTTGATAAAACTGTAAGTTTCTTTGTTGAAATTTAATTATAATTTTCATTATATTAAATAGATCATCTTCATCGTCAGCAAAACGTCGTTCATAGACAACATTTTATACTTCGTTTTCTTCTTGTGTTTATATACACATGTATTGAAATTAACCAGGATAAAATAAAATCATTCTTTAGATTTTACATAGTATGATTTGTTTTTGGGAAATTTATTACATAAAAAACATTTTTTGTTTTTCGTTACATTTTTTAATAGGGATGTACAAATTCTTGATTTTTTTTTACACAAAAGATTGTGTATTTGTAGCACTGAGAATATTCAATTCCCGTCAAGTGTTCCGGTGAGACTTAGTTAGTCTTGATCATTCTGTTTTATGCTACTATCATACTTGATGAAATACGATTAAGAAATAGAAAACTCGCCCGTAATTGAAGGTTTTAAGTACTGCAAATGCTTTATTTTTACTGTGAAAAATTAAGAATTAGTGCATTGCTACTTATGATAAAAAAAAAAAGACAGAATAACGAAATCCATCTGATATTGTGTTATATTCTATTTATTAGACTAATGAATTAGGTAATGATAAAACTAAACAATATTTATAATCTTCTCTTAAATTCATTCTACCATCAACACAATTTTTTAAAGAAATCAGCTCATTCAAATATCAATCTTCTTTACGTATTTATCTTTACTTTTTGAATGATAATATGAAACATAATTCGTTACATAAGTTTGACAGATTTGATCTATATTCTATACGATACTATAATTAACAATAAATTCTTTTAGTACAAATATCTTGAATGAACAAAGCTTTTTTTCAAATTTCTTTATTTTTGAATAACTTATAAACATCCAATTATATCAAGGTAAGGTTTTCATTATGACATAGAAGATACACATTGTAGAGATTATTATATTCCAAAGTCGGATTGATTCTACTTTGATGTATATTGATCTTTTATCATCGATTACCACAGCATTGATTGAAGAAACACAAACTAAAACAAGAGCGTCACCTTCAACAAGTTCAGTTAGGAAGAGAAACAGATCAGCAGGAAGTAAAATGTCATTTTATACACTAAATAGGAAGCAGCCGCATCTTTTTTGATTTCCTATCAATAAGGAAGACGTCCGATTTGCTGTACAAATCAAGATCTAAATAAAAGTGTTTGTCATTGTTCTCATTGTAAAAGCACCTGCTGTATGAAATTTAAAAGAAATTTGTATTTTTATAATTATCACAAGAATATTTTGCAAAAAGATAAATCCTTTTTTTTGTTCCACATTTTTGTATTTATAATGATACATATTATTTGTGTTTGTTCTTAAAATTTACTTAGTTTCTCAAGATTTCGAAATAGTTTCGATGGAAATATCAATACTACATGATAAATAAAGTTATATATATGGAATTGTACAAAAATTTCTTTCACAGACGGACTTATGTTACTTCAACAGTTAATGGTTATTCATCAGATTTAAAACATGATATTGAAAATTGTCTATTAATGCATTAGTTCAATGTATCTATTCACAGCAATATCAACTTCCAATTTCATTTTCTTGGGATTAAATCAAAAGTAATATGTTGCCATTGTTATTACAGAAAAGATAAATCTTTAATTGTATATCAACAATAATGGATTAGATTTTTGGTTGTAACAGAAAATTATTAACAAACAAAATCTCTGTACAACATTATTTTTTCATCTATTTGACTTTCTTTATATTATTGTAGAAATAAACAGCACAACTCATTGTTTGATATTTATTTGTGACAATGTTTTTTTATAAGCATCTGAGAAGTGGCACGGATAAGAACAACGATGGATAAGATTGGTTTTATTCCTCATTTACAATTATAAATACTCTTCTAGTGTTTGAATGTTTCATTTATCGAATCTCACACTAAGCGATTCTGTAAGAAATGTTATACAGAGAAAAAAAAAGATTTGATAAAATGCTTCACTCTAGTCTTCTTGAAAGTCAAAACATTAGAAAATGAATGTCTAGAAGAATAAAGTCAAATTAAATTCAGCAACATATTTTTATACAAAATAAAAAAATAGTTGCATTTGTCGGAGTATGAATTTTATGTTTTTCTTTTAATTCAAATTAAATCATTCTAAACAACTTTTAGTTTTTATCTCCTTGATAGTCTTTTCAAAAAATATAACTCACAATAAGCTCATTAAACGGAAGCTTTCGTACCTATTGATTGGTTAGAACTCTTAGTAAAATGGAAATTGAAATCCATCAAAGCATATTTTAATAATATTTCTTATTTTTTTTTTACAATATAATAAAAAAAATTTTAAATGATACTCTCTGCTTACGAATGTAGAATAGTTTCAAACTTGATATTTCCTTACAGCTAATAAACGTTAGAAATAGTCATTCATCTCTGTGTCAATGTTCTTACAAAGCATTTTATCAGATGAATGATCTTAGGTAATAATCAAGAACGAATACCTTCAAAGATCATAGTCGTCATCTACGATAATCTTCGAATTATTTCTATTTTATATTCTTGTTTTTTCTTTAGACTGAATGTAAGCTGTTCCTTTTTTTGTTTGATATAAAGAAATTATGATCACAGAGCTCTATGAATGAAATGAGAATATATATATATATGTATGTCAATGATTTTCAAGGTATAGTGAATTATTTCGATTAAAATTCATTTTTTTCCGAATAACTTTTACATTAAAACTGTTTATTATTATAAATACGCGCTTCTTTGTGCTTTTCTTCGATTTACCATTGCGATGATAGTTAATTTGACTGATATTAAATAACTAGTAAAGATTATTATGTTTGCTGGTGCTCAGATTGGTCATTATCTTTTTCTTTTTCTCTTTATTAATCATATTAATTATAATATTTAATATTTAGTCACAACGAAACTAGTCCCTCGTGGTCAACAAAAACCAATAATCGATGCTGAAAATGAAGATAAAACTACACAAGATTTAGTAAATATGACTATATTAGTACCACGATCAAAAGCAGCTATTGTTGTTGAAACTCGAGCAGAAAAAATTGAACGAAAAGTTCTTGCACAAGAACGAAAACATGAAAGAATTGTTGAACAACAAAAAATTGCTCATCATATGGAAAATTTAATGGAAAAAGTATTTTAATAGTTTTCTATTAAACAACATTATCTGTTCTAACGAAAAAAAAAAAGGTTCTTCATGAAACATCATTATCAAAAAAAGATGAAGATAACTTACGTAATAAAATCAAAACTATTATGACTAAAGTAAATAAAGAATCAGACAAAATCGATGTCACATCTCTTCATCCATCTATTACTCAACGTCCATTATCATCATCATCATCTCAAACAAAATCAGATGTATGTATTTTCTATTGTTATAAAAAGAGTCATTCAAAAAAATTTCGAAATTAATTTTATTTAAATACAACAATAAGCACTAATGGATTAGTATTGTTGTTTGTATGTAGTTTCTATTGTCCTCAATCTATAGACATCCTAAATTCTGATCGATTTAACATTTATGTCTAGATACATCAATACATTTTACACTGATAGGAAATTTTAAAAGTTGAGCATCCTCCAATGATAAAATTTTTAACACTAGATTACCGATGTCCATCCAATATTTATGAATGTATGATGATAGTTTATGCTAATCGACACTTCATCACTCACTACAATTTCTGAATTACATGGTAGTTTTAAAGATGGATAATTAAATAATGACGAATGATTCTTGATGTAAATGACGTAAATATAAAAACAATTTCGAAGCTTTGCCATGATCAATTACATATGACTCAAATCTGTTCAAGATGAGTGTTACATTTAATGATATCTGAAAAACTAAGCACAGCTAATATATGAATGCTTATTGACCCATTTTTAGAAAAACGAGCTCGTTCAACAAGCATACTAGATGATACAATATTATCACTATAAGTTATCACCATACGTTCATAAATATTGAATGGGAATCCATTATTCAAAACAAAAATTTTTACTTCTCTATCAATGTACATGACATGATCTAAAACGTATTGTTACATCTAGACATAAGTGCTTAATCAATCATAGCTCATACCCTCTATAGATCGAAGATTGTAGGAATTGCACACAAACAATAAAACTAATTTAGCAAAGGTTCTTGTTGTTTTTAAATAAAGTCAATTTCGGAACTTTTTTTCAAGGATCTTCATCCTTATTTATCATTCATATGTGATTATGTATATCTAGTCTATCGAACAATCATCTCAATCTAAATCATTGAAAACAGCAAGTCAACGGGCTTTTCTTTTATGGTACGATAAAAACAATCATTGATATTTTTTCTTTGATTATTATATTCGAAAAAAAAATCTATAAATAAATTAAATTATTTTACAATTTAAAATACAAGTCGATTGTTCGATTAATCTTAGAAAGATAATTTATAATGACTGAGTCATGTCACGTAATCAAATAGTTTTCATTTAGCGTAATCGAAGATCTATCAGTTATGCATGAATTATAATTGTAAATCCTTTTCTGTTTTCTTTTTCATCTACATTAACTATGTTATTGTTTTCCTTGATGAATTTCTTTTCTTTTTGATCAACCTTCTTATCCTGTTGCTTCTTTGAATGATAATTAACATAAAACATTATTATCTTTTGCTTGAACGGAATGCTGATAGTCAAGTGAAGTCCTACTATGAATATTATTAATGAAAATCACATTTAATACATGTAATTAATATGTCGAAGTTGAACTAGTATATAAGTAAAATTGTGCTTTATCATGATGATTAATTTATATAAATCCAGGATATTAAATTGTTCCTTTCTTTTGAATTCGATAAATACCACAACAGAATTTTATTTATCAAAAGAATACATCTAATTTAAGTGATTCCTACGCAATAACAGATTCCCTTCGGAGGAACGATGCAACGGATATAAAAAAAAAAAGACAGTAGTCATTAAAATTAATCGTTTTCAAAATTAGAAATCTATATTGACATCAGAATGTACCTGATTTTCAACGTTTTAAACTAAAAAATTTTGAAAGATACAAGTCAACAATATTTCTGAAATTTGATAATCCGAAAAATATCTTCCCAAATTCTTGAAATCGTATTAGTTTAAAACAAATTTTTACTCAAATAATTAAGATACAAAAGAAAATTGTGAATGTTCTATTTCAGGTAGGAATTTAGGGCTTAGACTTTATTTTTGTACTCAACATAGATAATGAGTAGTCTGAGACAAGTGCGATTTTACTCAATGAGTGTTGATGAATGTAATTACAGTAAATACAAAAAAGATTTTCTTTAAGATAATTTTATTAAACAAGTACGTTATGTTAATTGACTTTGATATTTAAAACAGAATCTCAAGTATTGAATGCATATGTTTATTTTTATATTTTTACTTTATCTGTCCTTTAATTAATCGATTCTTTCGAAAAAAGAAACCAACTGAAATTACTTTAGTAGTATATATTAGTTTATATTTGTAATTAATATCCACATCTTATGAAATAGTATCTTTGTTTAGTATTTCTAACTATATTATTGTCAATAAACAATTATAGAAAAAATTTGCATAGTTTGATGTATGTACTCAATCAACTTGTCATCTAAAAAGATAATCATTGTGTTCTATACTGCACTAATCTCTACTAGCATAAAAATAGTAACAAAACTTAATCGGGATTATTCGATAGTTACTCATCTATAGATTATATATTGTATAAAAGAAAACAACAGATGTGATCAAGGATATAATTATCGCTTGATTTACGTCTTGTTGAAAAATAAAACTCAATGTTAATATAATTCATATTTATTTTTGCTAATGTTTCTAACCTCGATATCATACTTAATGCATATTTAATATCTATCGATGATACTATTTGAACTTTAATGACGAAAAATACAATGAAACTAAAAATAATTTTTCTAAGATATATGATTTTATTTTTAAATTTTTATTAAATATAGCCTTAAATACGGAATATGGTAGTATTTTCCAAGGCATATTCATGTTTAAATAGAAAAATTATGTGTAATTCTTTTTTCTTATGATTGACTTTGATGAATGATGCATCACAAAAAGAAAATGTTAGAAATATGAACTGAATAAACTTAAGACCAAGAAAAGTTGACTGTGTTTTAATGAATATTATATAAAATTAATTTTTTATTGTCTTTAAACCCCGAGGAAGTTTATTGATATTTCCCATAAGCAATAATTTCTTTCTGTTATTACATTTCATCGTACATATAACGAGAAAATACAAAAGAAATAAATGAAAGAAAAAGTTATATTTATTTTTTTTGTTTTCTATAAAGTACAAATTTGAGCTAAATGATTTTCTCTTCATATTAATTGTTGTTGTTAGTATTTGCATTATCATATATCAGTTCAATTAGTATTCAACAAGTTTATAGATTATATATTGATATACTAAAATAAAATAAAGATCATTTCGTCTCCAAAACATTAAAGAAGATCCAATTCTAAATAATTTCATCTATCATTATCAACTGCGTTCATTTTCAGAACCCATCATTGATTTTATCTTTGTTATTTGTTTATCTATTAGCATTCAGCTACTTTTCATCATCACATACTCATGTTCTATCTATTGAATAGTTACTATTATTAGAAACATTTTATTTATTATCAATAAAAGAATACAGTTATACATATTGTAAATATACGTTTTGTTGAACATACACACATGTAAATTTTTTTCTGTGTATCGTTTGTTTTTCCAGATTTATTCATTCTACAAGGTGATTATATTATTAACCATAGCACATATCGTATACTATCTCTATATATAATATGTTAATAAATAAACGAATTGTAGTAATAAAAACAAATAGGAAATTAATATCAAGTGATGTTTACTATATTCAATAAGAATAACATCGTTTTATACTAATATAAAATGATGAATTATTGTAAAATTCTACTTTATTTTTCTGCTTATTAACGTCTTTTGTGGATTTCTTTTTTACATTGTGAAAAAAGAAACTTTAAACGAATGATCATTTATTTCTTCTACTATTATGAAGTGAATTTTATATATTGTTTATAAAATAGTCGATCATTTTTCTCTATGTATGACTACCATTGAAAAACTAGTGTTAGAATGATATTTGATTTATTTGCTGTCAATTTAGTTTCCTCAATCAATATAAAACAAGATTGACATAAAAAACAAGACAAGTTGTCACTTGAATATTTCATTTCATTGTAAAAATATCATGAAAATATCTCCATACTATATTTGCTACCTGTAGATGTATTGTCTTATGAATTTATTTTGATACTAATAGTTCAACTGACAAGTTAAGTATGAATATTAATATAAGATTGAAATATCAAGATATTCGTGACTATAAATCATTATTTTATGATTACGACTTTTTTTATTTTTATTCTATTAGTAAATTAAAAAAATATGATCAATACAAATGATGACAAGAATGGATTTGTCTATGATGACTTTTTCTTAAGTTCATTTTTTGATTTGTGTTCTTCACATGGTGTATATATATATATAGTTTATTGTACTATATTTTGTTTTTCTCACAAAATAAATTTACGTATATTGATGAACTAGATAGTATAATAACATTCTATACGAATACATAGATTCTTTGATCGATAATCAAAATTCATTACATGTTCTATCAAATGAATGACTAAAAAAGAAACAATTGTCAGCTATATTAAAGAATGTCCAAATGAAGGACTATCATTATTATCATCTGGGATTAAATGCACGAAACGAAAGACACTCAAATGATTGATTAAAAGAAAAAGTCTATCGTTCAAATGAGACCTCTATTTTCTTCTATTCACATTCAAGCAATACAAAAAAGAAAGAATAAACTTATGCAAGTATCTTATCATTAATATCAGTAATAATAAGTATTATTAGTATTTGTGAGTAGACCTTGTTGTACTTTAATGTAATTCTTTTTCTATTATATTAAGATTAATAAAAAAAAAAAATACTCGTTTTCTACTCAAACAATAAAAATGACGAATGCAAAAAGCAAGAAAGGAAATTTCCCTATACTCAAATGATATCATATCTATTGAAGTAATAGAAATAATTTATAATCAATTCATAGAATATTAACATTAAATTCTAGAGATTTTCTGCTTGTTGATACTAAGTAAATAGCTCATTTTTGTGTTTGTATGTCAATGCAAATGGAAAGAAACTATTATTTTTTTATAACAAGTCGACAACTATGAACACTACAAAACTCTCGATTTATCATTTCTCTTTGTCAAATTTTGATATTACTACTCATTTATATTCTTTATTCCTTCCCTACGATGGTTTCAATGATATATTAGATGGCAATGATCTTTTTAATAATATTAGTGCTGCATTGACACCAT